GGTGCATGGCTGCGTCTTTGGTGGGTAGGCACTTGTGTTGTATCTTGTATCTAAAGTTGTTGTATTTAGTGTTTGCCTCATTTTTCTTTACTTCCACAGAGAGTGTGTTGTCTGTGTTGGGGGTGAGGTAGGGTCTGTTGCAGGTGTTCCTGGTCTTTTTCATGACATGTGTGCACACATTTCCTTCTATTTGTCTGCCCTCATGGTCAAAGATTAAAATGGGGTTGGCTTGGTTTTGCAGGTCCCGCTTTTGAGTCCATGATGATATGGAGGTTGTATCTGGTTGGACATGAGAGAAGTGCCTCTTCTATTGCCAAGAGCTCAGTGACCATGGAGATCACTTGGGTGTGGGCAGAGAAGCTGCAGTTTCTGTGGGACCCTTTGCTGTAGAAGATGCCTCTGCTGCATTTGTTGTCAGTGCATGATCCATCTGTGAAAATGAAGAGCAATTTGGAGGGATAGGGTATGTAGTAATCTGCCTCTTCCTTGGGGGTTGAGGTTGGTGCATCTTGTCTCCCTCCTTTTATGCTTGAATGAGGTGATAGCCAGGTATTTGGGCTTCAGTGCAAGTGACCCTCTCAAGCAGATTGTATTGGCAATGATCTGGTACTCCTCTTCTGTGGCCATTTGTGCAAAAACGCAGTTCAGTTTAAATTGATTTAGTTTATTGTTGGTGGTGATCTTGTCCCAATTAGCGCAGCCCTTCTTGTGCAGTGTTGCTATTATGGTTGGGGGTATGTCAGCGTTTCTGATGACTGCATTGTTCCTCTCCCTGGGCTTTGTGGTCAGTTTATGGTGAGTGAGGGCGTCTTCCCAGTGTGTGTTTGTGCCACCTTCTACCCGCCACTTAAGGTACCAGGTGCTTTTGGCTGTGAGCGCGCTGAGCATGTTGTTGTTCATTTCTATCATTGTTTGGTCACATTGGATAGTGTCCTGTAGATCGACCAGTGAGATAAGTCCCTTGCCTCCAACTGCACTGGTTGTGTAGAGTGGGGCATCTTTTGCATTAGCTGACAGGCCCATTGCATGTTTGATTGTGGTTGATGTGTAGCGGTCTAGTCCCCTTAGCCATGCAGTGTCATAAGGGACTACAGCCATGCTGTAGGCTACGTAGCTATTTGAGACCATGTTGCTCACCAACACTTTCTGATCAGCTGAAAGTTGTTTGGTGCGGAGAGAGTTTTGGAACATGACAAATCACTTTTCCAAGTGCTCTCTCTGCTTCTTCCAGCTCAGGTCCATGTTCAACAGCACACCCATGTACTTGTATGTAATATCACTGTTGATGCAGGTAATTGGGGTATATGTTAGGTTTCTTTTGTCATAATTTTTGGGGACCAGGAGTTGCTGTTGGTTGTTGGCAAGTCTCAGGTTGGTATTGAGGTGGGGGGCCAATTTCAGGGGGTTCACTTCCAGGCCTGCCCATCATCCAAATTCTATTAGTTTATTGAATGAGTTGCTCAGTCCCTCATGGTTACTGCTTACCAGTACAAGATCATCACAATAGGTGATGATGGAGATCACCAGCCCTTGTGCATAGGTGTAGCCATTCTGGTCCTGGTTTATCCATTCAAGGAGGGGGTTTATTGTTGTTATGAATAGCAGTGGTGATAGTGTGTCACCCTGTTGTACACCTTGTTCTATGTAAAAATCCTGGCTCTTATCACCATTGATGACAAAGTTGGTGGGGCAGTTTGTGTAGATTGCTTTGATGATGTTGGTGAATTTCTGTCCTGTGCCATACACTTCCAGGGTGTCCAGGATTGCTTGGTGGTGTTCAGAGTCAAACGCTTTTTTGCAGTCAACATATGCCAGGTGTAGCTCATTGTTGGTGTATTTAGCATCTTCAATCATGTCCACCATAGCACATAGGGCTGTCATGGGTCCCATTCCTTTCCAGAACCCTGTTTGGCTGGGGCTTAGTATGTGCAGGTTGAGCACCTTGGTTAGTCTTGTTGTGATGATCAAGGTGTATGTTTTGTACAGGACTTGAAGCAGGGAAATGGGTCTGGGTTGAATGGGGATCCATCTTTTGGGATGAGCATGATGTGTGCTTCTCCCCAGTTACTCAGGAGTGGGGCGTTTTCTGTGATCATCTTACTCATTGCTTTTCTGATCAGCTGGTGGGCTTCTTGGGGCACAGCTCTGATTATATCCACATCCAGTCCATCTGTGCCAGGCGACCCCTGTTTGGATTTGTTGATTGCTGTCTGGTATTCATCTGGGTCTATTTCCTTGGTTAGGTTGGTCATCTCCATTTGTTCAATTTTTTTTGTGTTCCTGAGCCATGGTGTGTCCATTTGGTCATGTACCTGTTTCTGGTAGAGGCGGGACCAAAAGGTGTGAAAGACCTCCATTACTCCTTCCCTTGTTCTTACTAAGGTTTTGCCTTGCTCATCTTTTCTGATTGTGGCGGTGATGTTTTTTGCCTTTGTTCACCCTGCTCCAGAAGCTCTGGGGGTTGCTTTTGTGTTAATTGATGCACTGTTGGAACTGTTTGTTGGTGTTCTCTGTTTTCTTTTGGTTGACCATGTTTTTGATGTTTGAGCTTATTTGTTTTCTAATTTGGTTGAGCGTTTGGAGGTAGGTCATGCACTTGTGCTGGGTCCTCATCTCTGGGATTGAACACTGTTCTAATGCATTCTGGCCCACTTGCTATGCCTCTCATGGTCTTAGTAGTGTGCACTGGTTTGTTGCACACTAGCCTATGGGCTATGTAACGCTGTGTCTTCACTACTTTTTTGATAAAACAGAGTTTTTCGCCAAGGGCGTGGTTTCTTTTGTATAGCAGGC